GTTTAGGGTTTAGGGTTCAGGTCTTAAAGGGTGGTTCGGGGGATTAGGGGGCTTTTAGGAGGTTTAGGGGGTTTGGGGTTTGAGGGAGGGGTCCTGAAGGTTCTAGGTTTTAGGGATGTGTGAATAGTTGGCAGTTTTGTAAACACATATAGTCGTTACATAATAATTCCATAGCCAATGCCGACATCCCATAGTCACGTAATCTATGCTGCAAAATAGGTCTCGGTGTGAGAATTGGCTAGTTGGCATGGTTGGTTTTTCATTACATCGCTCGACTTCTTTTCGCCTAAACCCTAAACCCTAAACCCTAAACCTGGCTTGTATTGGATTCGGCTTTGGGTCTTCGGGCTGCGCACCTCTCTTAACCCACTCTTCGTACGGTTTCGGGTTTTTTGGTTTGCGGGTTTGGTGGTGTTCATGCCTGCCCTTCCCTTTGAGGCTCTTTGTTGTCGCACCCCGCTTTCTTGTTTTGGGGTTTCGGGTACTCTAGCTTGGCCTAGACCCTATTGCCCATGCCTTGAAAGCCGAAAATGCCACACCTGAGCCCTGCACCTACCCTCAGTGGCCTAAACCCAACATGCTAGATTCCAAAAGCCCCTTAAGTACGGCTCGTGCTCGTAAAGTGGTGATGATGGTGGTGGCAGCCGCGATGGCCTTGATTTGGATGTTGGTTCTGTTGATCCCGATGGTGATGATGACTTGACATCACGAGCTTCGGCCCACAGAAGCAACATCATGACGGTTGTAGAGGGATCTAGCTGCTTCCACTGCAGGCGACATGAGGATCACAAATGCTCGGACCTCTGGTGATGTTGTTCACAGTGCTTTCATTTTGAAGAGCTCACATGCTCGAGCCCGTAATGACGTCCATGTACGCGGAGCATCCGTTGACTAGTGCCAGCCAGAAATGGTCGATTGTTGTGACCAGTTTCTGTTTCCTTGATGCCACCTCTGAGTGTGGATCAAAAGATGCTGGTTCACTGCTCTGCTCGTGCCATGCTAGTCTCCATCTCCACATCGTGACAAGCGATGCGAGTTCACTGCTCGTGCCATAATTTTCTCCGTGACGTATTCCTGGGGCCTATGTTCCTGGGGCATTTGTTTTCAAACTGGTGCGCCCCCCTCATAAATC